CTGGGGAGGGCCCTGCCCCGCCCCTGCCCCCCCCACCTCCGGCCCTGACCCCGCCCCTCTCCCCCACAGAGATAGAGTGTCTAGTGGAGGTGCCCGCCCCGCAGGACTACTGGGGCCCCCTGTTTGCCGTGTGCATCTTCCTCTTCTCCTTCGTCATCCCGGTGCTCATCATCTCCGCCTGCTACAGCCTCATGATCCGCCGGCTGCGCGGCGTCCGCCTGCTCTCGGGCTCCCGCGAGAAGGACCGGAACCTGCGGCGCATCACGCGGCTGGTGCTGGTGGTGGTGGCCGTGTTTGTGGGCTGCTGGACGCCGGTGCAGGTCTTCGTGCTGGTCCAGGGGCTGGGCGTCCAGCCGGGCAGTGAGACGGCCGTGGCGGTCCTGCGCTTCTGCACAGCCCTCGGCTACGTCAACAGCTGCCTGAACCCCATCCTCTACGCCTTCCTGGACGAGAACTTCAAGGCCTGCTTCCGCAGGTTCTGCTGCGCGCCCGCCCTGCGCCGGGAGGCGCCGGCGTCGGACCGCGTGCGCAGCATCGCCAGGGACGTGGCGCTCGCCCGCAAGACCTCCGAGACCGTGCCGCGGCCCGCATGACTAGGCGTGGACCTGCCTATGGGGCCTGTCAGCCCGCAGAGCCCGTCAACGCCCAACACGGAGCTCACCCAGGTCACCGCGCTCTAGGCTGACAGCTGCCCGAGCCCTGGGCGTCTCCAGCTGCAGAGGGCTTCTCTGTGGCCCCGAAGGCCTGGTGACATGGGACAAGTCAGAGCATTAGGGCTGCCTGTGGCCCTGGTCACGCGGAGCCTGACCTCCTGGACTGAGATGAGCGTGCCTGGCCAGAGCCCAGGCCAGCAAGGCCACGCTTCGTGGGGCTCTGCTGGCCTCTCCCCTGCTTCGCCCTGCATGCTTGGGGTGGGCGCACACCTCAGGCTGTAACAGCAGCGTGTGCAGCCCTGATCGCCCCTGTGCTGTCTGCATGGCACCCTGCTGTGTCTCCTGGGGCACCTGGGCGAGCTGGGCGCTGCCTGAAGAGCCCGCCAGATGTCTGGGCCGAGCGACTCGCCCTCAGCTTGGAGCTGCCGTGTGGTCTTGCTGCTGCTGCTTCACCACCCCCACCCCACACCCCTCGGAAGCTCCTCAGCGGGCCTTTGTCCTCCAGAAGTGAGCGCACCCTTCTGCTGCAGGCAGGGCCGTCCAGGTGCGTGGAGTGGCCGGGGGCTGTGCCACCGCTGCAGGCTGCTCTGTCGTTCTCAAAGCTGCCGCCTGGTCTTGGCTGCTTGGTGCTGGGGGTCCCTACTGCGGGGTCCTGGTACCCTCCCCGGCTCTCCCTCACAGTCTTTACTATTCTTGAAATTGGGGGTTAGCTGCTGTGCAGCTGGCAGGACCCTGGGCCCCGTGTGGGTCTTGGTGGCCTCAGAAGGGTGGCATTCGGGGTGGGTGTTGCTCTCCATCCCCTGTGGCTGACCCACTGCTTCATCGACAAGCCTCCGACGTCTATGGGGGAGATGCCAGCATCCGGCACCAGGACCTGTCTTAAACGGTGCCAAACCAGCAGACGAGTTCACCTTTGGACCTAGGTGAGGGGTGTCTGGGCTGTGGGGACGCTGGTGGCGGGGTGTCTCCCCACCATGGTCACTGGAGAAGCACCGTACCCAGGCTGCAGAGGGAAGCCGCGGGTTGGTGACTTTGCAGACACTCTTCCTGCAACACTGAGAAGACTCTCCACCCGTGGGCTGCGCCGTGGCCTGGCCAGGCGACCTCGGGCACCTGCGAAGAACAGAAAGTGCTGACTCTGGGCTGGCTCCGGCTCCGGGGAGCCTGGCCCTGGGACCTGCACCTCCGTGACTGGTGCTTTCTTGCCAAGGCTGAGGGACTTGTGACTTTGTGCCTGTGCCACATGTACCTTCATGTATTTGTGCATGCGACAAGTGTGGTCTCCCCTGCGTGTATCCGCCCGCGACCTGTCTCTCAGAGCCAGAAGCAGGGCCCATTGAGCAGGTGTTTCTGACGCCTGCGGGTGGGGTTGTTGGGGTCACTTCTCTGCTGTTAGCATGTGTGGTCCTCCCACCTGCTCTGTGCCCCTCACCTGGCTGGGTTCTGCCCTGGGTGGAGGGGCCACCTGGAGGCTCCAGCTTGGTAGGGGGTATGGCTGGTTCATGGCATGTCGGGGGCTGTTACCTTTTCTTCAACATGGTTTCTCCCTAAACAACCAACCACGACACCTCTTCCTGCGTGAGAGGGACCCTGTGGGCCCCGTGTGTGGGACGCCTCTCCCTCCTGGGTCCCGGCTTCTCTTCACCCCACGTAGCCTCAGCAGACCCCCGCCCCACAGCCGGCCCAGCAGAGCGAGGGGATTTTTGAGGACCAATGAACAGAGCAGCCTCACTAGGGCCTTGAGAGGTCGGAGCCTCCTGGCTTCTGTGGCCGAGCTCTACCCAGGTTGACACAGGCGACCCTGTCAGAGAGAGGGGCTTCTGAGGGGGTGGGGTGGGCGACCTTGGGCCAAAGTGCTTTTTCTCAGGCAGACGGGACAAGGTGTGGTTTTATACAAGTTTTAATGACGGGCACTTTGCAGTTAAAAATTTAGCGTCAAGGGAAAGTCTGGGAGGGACAGCACACAGCTGGGCAGTCAGCAGGAGAGTGCCCGGGGGCAGTGCGCTCCCACGGAGGGGGCTGGAGGCTGGCTCCTGGGGGCGGCCCTGCAAGGGGTGAGGGGATGGAGAGCTGCTGAGGGCACCTCAGAAGCGGCCCACTGATGCCCAGCTCTCCAGGACTCTGCCCTGCCCCCGGCCTGACAATGGCCTGGCTGCTGCCCTCGCCTGCCGCACCAGCCGCTGGCCTTAGTTAAGTCTCTTGACTTCTCTGAGCCCCAGCTTTGTCGCATGTGCAAAGTTACGTGTGAACTTTGCTTGTGGGTTTGTGGGGAAGGCTGCGAGGTGGGGTGGGACCTATGCCTGCTTCCACTTGGGGAAGCTATGGGCTCAGCTGCTGCTTTGGGCTTTGCCCACCTGGGGTCCTGTCCCCCCAGGAGGCCCTGGTGTGGGGCTGGGGTCTGGGTGGTGGCATTTGGGGACTGGAAGGAGAAGGCCAGGTTTTGCCTGGGACCAGGAGTCCAGAGTGTTGGGGACACTACCTCCCCAGTGGAGGAGGGGAGACAACCAGCTTCCCTGGGAGATGGAGCTCTGTTGGGCAGAATCTGGGTGTGGTTCGCCTCTCCCCTGCAGCTGGCAGACCGTGGCCCGAGGGATGGGCAGGGATCTGCACCGCTAGGCTTGGTGGCACTGATCTGCCCTGGTCGCTGTCACTCTTGTTGCTGAGCTGTGGATGAGAGAAGGAGCCACCCAAAAGAATAAAGGGCCTGAGGTCTTCTGACGAGACTTGGTTGGCACCAGCTCTGCTGGAGCCAGAGGGCAAATTGGGGGGAGTGGGAGACTGCAGCCGAGGGCTGCAGGGGCCTCTGGCGCTCCCCCTCCCCCGGCGCTCCC